AAAGGAGATGAAACTTCTTGTTTCCTAGCCAGCTAAAAGCTAGCTGTTAAGCAAGGGTGGTGTGTGATCCAATAAGTGAAGTATGTTTTTATCTATGGAAAAAATAGTATGTATTGCAGATCTGGCAGAAACATGTCTCTCAAATGTACCTACCAGTTAAGAAATGTAAATATTTCCACTTTAAATCTCACTATTCTTGTAACTCACATAGAGAAAAGGAGGCCTTTTATATGAGACACTGTTGCTACTTTTGTCTGTGTCCTTTTTTTTTGTTCTCTTTAGCTAGAGGGAGAGCTTCCACTGACTAGAAATGGAACCACCGTTGGGTTTAGTAAAAGTAAACATGAGCTGACTCTTATATAATTTTCTCTGTAGGAATTCAGGTTTGGTCTTAATTGTTTCTCTGGCTCATCATTAACCATGTCTGACCTGTTCCTGAGCATGTGACTGGGCTGAGAATAGCCAAGTAGCTTTTATCATCTAATAGTTATGTATTATGAGATCTAGATCAGGCATGTCGCAAAGACAAGTGAAAACTCTTCTTACCAATACAGTATTTCTTCTTTCTAATACAAGACTCATTTTTAGGTGGAGAAAGTGAGATTCTTTTCTGTTGCATGTGAGACAGCAGCTTCTTGGAGAAAATGCCTTTTGTGTTCCCTACTTCCTGCACTGCCCGGGCTGGAGCATCTTTCCTATGAGGAGAGGCTGAGAGAGTTGGGACCGTTCAGTCTGGAGAAGAGAAGGCTCCAGGGACACCTTAGAGCAGCCTTCCGGTATCTGAAGGGGGCTTACAAGAAAGCAGGAGAGGGACTTTTTACTAGGACATGTAGTGATAGGATGAGGGGGAATGGCTTCAAACTGGAAGAGGGTAGATTTAGATTAGATATTGGGAAGAAATTTTTCACTGTGAGGGTGGTGAGGCACTGGAACAAGTTGCCCAGAGAAGCTGTGGAAGCTCCATCCCTGGAGGTGTTTAAGACCAGGCTAGATGGGGCTTTTAGCAACCTGGTCTAGTGGGAAGTGTCCCTGCCCATGGCAGAGGGGTTGGAACTCAATGATCTTTAAGGTCTTTTCCAATCTAAACCATTCTATGATTCTGCGGTGGCTGGTTGCCAGCCAACAGCGGGCAAGGTGCTGCTCCTTCAGGGTACCAATATGAGCCCTGAAAGAGCTGTTGATCTTCATAATATGCAAACATCTACACTGATCTTCAGTGTAGAAGTGGCTGCAGGAGTTTGTGCGCCTCTGACGGAGGCTGTTGCCATATCCTGGTGACTGGTGAAGAACGCATGCGTGCACATGGTGTGCAGCTCCTGAGCAAAGTTCAGCAGCTAGCTGTACGTGCCCAAGGAACCTGAGCTAAAGTGTCAGACTTTGCACTGAAATGGATTAAAACCATGCACAAGATCCAGTCAAGCTCTGTTACAGGATTGGTAATGCCCAGAAGGACAGGAGGGACCTCTGGTAGTCATATCACCTCCTGTCTTTCAGAGCTCCTTGGGAAGCTGAAAGACTTAAGAAGTGAGGAAGGGAAAACCATAAAGGGTGAGGTAACCTAGGAACCCGTCAAAACTGTGCTCTGATCTTTGGTCCCTGACTGTTACCAGTATGTTTACAGTGCAGAGCTGCATCTTTGTGAGTTGAGCCTAAACTTCTCTGGGACACTTGAGCATTACTGATGGATTGAGAGACACCAAAGCAGCTGCCGGGTGCCTTGATGTGCCAGCCTGAACTCCCTGCACAGGGGTGAAAAGCTGGTTAAATGAAGGAGGCCATACCTTCATAAATACCACCATCAGCAGTGAAGCCAGGAGCTTAGGGGCCTCTGTTTTATGAAAAATAATCCCAAATTTCCAGCAGTTTTGTTCTCTCCCTCCAGTGCCAAGACCCTCTCCCTGCTTGTTTCTCAAATGAGGCAGTGGAAGGAGCCAGCAGAGGTGTTTCTACAGTCTGACCTTCAGGAAGAGACTAAGGCTGCCCTGTTTTTCCCTTGAGGAAAGGAAGGGATATTGACTTTTATGTAAGAAGTTTGAAAGCTAGTTCTTGCTTTGACTCGAATTCTGTAAGATCTCTGTGTGTACATGTGAGGGAACAAGGCATTTTACCTTTTTGGTCCAAGTGGTAATGTCTTAAAGCCTATTTTAAATTTTGTTTCTATTGGTAAAGCTGCATGAGTTCATGAGTCTGGACAAGTGTCTGTGGCTTAGGTAGTTTTGTGATTAGGCATATAATATTATATCAAATGTCTGAATGAGTAGTAGCTACAGTAAAAAGTCTGTTAAAAATCAATCCAAATCAAAAGAATTAGAAGACCATAAAGAAATATAATTTTTAGCCTCTATACACTCCAGCTTGTTTATATTAATATGAAGGAGTACAAAGGATGAATTTCTTCAACTCATCAACCTGCAGGTACTGTAAACCAAGATTTCAGGAAGGTCAGCTTCTCTACTTCCTGTGTTATACTGCTCCTACCAACTTGCTTTTGGCTTTTTTATGAAGACAGCTTCAGGAGTGCTGGTGAAGGCTGTTGGCCAAAATTTATTTTTACTGCTCTGCCTTTTTTCAGTTTGCTTAGTTGAATAAGCAGTGTTTCACTTTTCAATGCAGTATCGTTCATATGAGCAAAAGAATGAAAAGAGAAGTACTATTCTTTTCAGAATAATATTCTTACTGTGAAAGGTTAAGTTAGAAAATGTTAAATTACAGGAAGCCCAGAAAAAAATTGGTGTCTGTTCAGTCCTTGTTTTTTTTTTCCTTTAATTGATTTTATTTTTTCCTCTAGAGATTTGAAAGCCTAATAGCACTTTGCTATTTTGATGCATATTTACAGACTTATTGGTAAAATGTGTTTTAATTTTGTGCTGAATTCTTGAATCACAAGACCTGAACAGGGATGGACTTCCCTCTGCCTGGAATTGTATAGCTGACCAGCTATGCGGTGCTGGCTTTTAATTTCCCCTCAATTATCTACTTGTGTTCAGTTTTAGAAGTAGGATAAATATCTAATTAACTCGGAGTGCAAATATTTCAAGCGTAGGCTTTGTTTCATAAATTTTTTTCGAGTGACAGCCTTTATTTAAAACACAAACGGGTTTTTTTTGTTTGTTTGTTTGCAGTTAAATAATGCATCTCTAGGTGGCGGTAGGACACACGGGTACTTTTTTTCTCTGCTTTAGGGCTGTTAACAGAGTGCTTGCAGTTTGTTTTGTTTGGGGTTTTTTCAGTGTTTTTTCGTTGTTTTCTGTTTGGTTGGTTTTGTTTTTTTTTTCCCCCCCTCCCTATAAAAGTACATAAGGAATCGCTGAGCTCCTTGGCTCTGGAGTCAGAAGGGAGGGTGCCTTGGAACAAATAAAGGGTACTTTGTGTTCAGTTTGGTAGATATTAAACCTCCACACTGTCGAAGATAACACCAGTCAGTTACCTGTTTGATTTGTTTGTTTGTTTTAAAACAATGGCGTCACACCGAACCCCAAAAGAAGGCTTAATGACCCAGAGGCGGTGCGTACCGGCCCGTGTGAC